ATAAACTTGGAACAGTGTGTAGATATGTGATTTGTTTGTTCTGCAAGACTTCAGATAAATAATCAAAGTCAATCGTTCCACCTCGATGAAGCATAATCAAAGAGCCTCCAACTAGCAATGTACCAAGTATCTCTTGAACATGAATATCAAATGAACATCGTGTCATTTGTACAACTGTGTCATTTTTGTTAAATGAGTTAATATAAGCCAAAGAATGCATACAATCAATAAAGTTCTTATGTCGAACTTGAACCTATGAAAGAGCATGAAAATAAATTAGATATCTAAAAATGAAGTGAGAACAAACCGCTTTAGGTGTTCCAGTCGAACCACTTGTGAAAATGATATAAGCAATATCATTGGGTGTCACTCTGACATCGGATAGTCGTTCAATATCAACATCACTCTTTGAGTCATCATTAGTCAATATCGAATGCATATCAATCAAAGCAATATCGTTATCATGAAACTTCGCTCTTGTCAACCAATGGACAAGAACAATACGACTTTGAGTTTGTTCTATAAGTGTATGCAAACGATTTTGTGGATCTCTAGCTGACAATGGACAATACACATTTCCACTCATTTCAATGGCCATTATACCAATAACCTATAAAATATGAAACCATCTATCAGACTAAACATCAATCTCAAACAACAACTTACCATAGATAAACTTCGCTCAACACATTGACAAACTATTTCACCTGGACTGACATGATATTCATTAACAAGAGTTAAAGATAAGACTTGAACATAATATAGAAGTTCACAATATGTCAAAGATTGTTCATCTAATTCAACAGCTAGTTTTTGTGGATGCTTCATTACTTGATATACAAATTCATGATGAATACAAGTGAGAGGAGAAGATGGAAATGATATTTGTGTATTATTCAATGATTGCATTAAATATTTCTCATTTGATAATACTAATGATAATTCATAGATTGGTTTATTCATTTGATTATCAATAGTAGATAAAGATAATTGATTTAAGATGGAATGATATCGCTGTGAAATCTTCTCCACAGTGTCTCTATTGAACAAGTCAAGTGATGCATTGATTGTACATGACAGTTGATTGATGTTCATATTATGATGAAACGAAAGAGAGAAGTCGGATGCACTTAGTATTATATCTTTAACAATATTGAATGAGAAAGATGCAAGAACAAGTTGAGAATCACCAATGACCACTGGATTATTATTCTTGTTCGATATAAATTCCAGAGATGTATCGAGAAATGCATGTTTTGAAATATGTGGATGTTGATCGAGAATACGTTGAAGAGGGAAATATGAATATTTCATACTATTTGTTGTTATCTCTTGTACCTGTTCGAGTAGCTGATGAAAACACCAATGAGGATGTAATTGACATCGTAATGGAATGACATTCTCAAACAGTCCAATGATTGATTTGAGTTCATCTCTATATCTATTATTATTGATGTTCATAGCAATACATAAATCTGTTTGTCCATTAGTTAGTTTAAATAAAAAGATGAAATAAACAGCAAATGTGAGATGTTCAAGTGATATGTTGTTTGATGATGCATGAATAAGAAAGTGATGTGAGAGATCTTGACCAAAATCAAATGAAATAGATGTTCCACGACCAGTTCGATGTTCATTTGAGAGACGATATCGATCGTAAGGTAATGATAAAGGTTGATCAAGTTTACAATCATGCAGAACATCAAGCCAGAACATACTTGCACCACTCATTGACATTTGTTGTTCGATAGCAGCATCTATTGTACAGTTAAAGAAAAGAATGTATTATAAAAGAGAAATACAAGAACTAATTATATTTACAATCGAGGTAACGTAGATTAGTGTTGTCATCATATAATAATTGATCTGTTGTATATGCTTGATTCAGGTCATGAAGAAACACTTCCATCGATGGAAAGTCAAACAAAGCATGATGAAAGTTGAAAATAAGTAGATCTTTATCAGAAGGAAGGTGATTTGGAGAGATTTGTTGGTAGTAAACAAGATGACATCGAAACACAAGACCTTGAGCAAGATCAAAAAGTTGAGGATTACGTTTTTCATCGTGTAAAATCTTATTAAGTTGTTCATTTGTTTCATAAGTAGTTTCGATGATTGAGAACATATTATTTTTATATTTATCTTCATGATTAATAACTCGTTGCATAAGTAGATTCTTTTCGATATCAAAATGAAGTGATGTATGAAGTGAGGGATGTTTGTTAACAGTGAGATGAAGAGCATGACGAAGTTGTTTAATAGATAAGGTATGATCGGATTGAAGACGATAAAGAAAAGGCACATCATAGATTGCTACTTGTGGCTTCTCTGGATCGAATCGAATTCTTTCGTCAAGCCAAATACGAGCTTGTGCAAATGATGCTGGTGCTATAACAACGAAAATCATTGAAATCGAACTAGGGTCATCAACCAACAGACGTATCTTTAGAATTCATCTAGCGCATTATTTAATTGCCCTCTGTATTTTATTATAAAATTCTATTGATATTACTGTTTCAAATATTCATAGTCTCTAGTACTAGTAGTCAAAAGCATGAAAATTTTACATATGAATTTATGATGTTGTAAGTTTTGACTCCTTTCATTTCTAATGTAACTTCTTTATATTTAACATGAAGACAGATGTTCCTTGAAAAGTGAATTGTGAAATTTCTACAGATTATGTAATGAGCGTTTTATTTACAAATTAGAAAAGTAAAGGCCTACATGAAAAATTTCATTCTACGTTTTTATTTTTCAGGTTCTAATGATGCTCTGTGGTAAAAATACTAACTAGAAACGTATGTATGTTCTTTTTCAGAAGAATTGTAAGTACGACTGAAAGCTAGGGTTTTTCAAGCATCATAAGATGATAAAATTAGTTTTTTGCCTCAGAAAGTTAAAGAATAGGAGGAAAGATTTATGTTTGAAAATTGAGATTTTCGCGAACTTTTATGCAATATTTTACTTTTATATTTAAGGATGAAACATTCACTACATATTTACAGAGAATATCACGGTACATCATTTGAAAAACAATCTGTGTATTAACGTTGAATAGTAAAAAAAGTTATATTTAAAATACGATTGGATTAGAAAGTAATATACACTTTTTATAATGTCTTAATCGCTCTTTATAATTAATTGCATCGCCTATACTTTCTTCGTATATACACCTGTTCAAATAAAAGTTGTCTGAAAAATGTATCGTAGTTTAAGATAGCTATTTTTCCAAAGTATAACCATAAAATTAATTTTAAGTAAAACCGACTTTTAATTCATATTCGTATTACTAAATAAAGTGAGAGAAAAACAATCAATTAAATGTTAATGTAGTGTTACAGATGTTGACTTTTACTTTTTCATGTTTGATATTATTTAAAATTATACATTTAGACTCGCCTAAAAAGCGTCAAAATATGGTGTAAAGGAACGAGTTTTACTTGAACAGTATCTAATCTTGATTAAAAAAGGTAAATTAGCGTTACTAGAATATATTGTTGTTCCCTCTACTGAAAGGAGGGTATTACGCAGAGTGAGTTAAGTACGTTCGTTCGTTTGTCCCTTCGTTCGTTCGTTCGTTCACTCTGATCGGTTAATTAAAACCTCTACTACTTTCTTGCTATAAGGGTTGACCGAAGGGTTTTCGGGGTCGAGGAACTCGAATCTGACGTTAGTTTTTTAAGATTTTTTTAACTACCAATTTTTTTAAACAAAGGACCACTTTTTTACGAAAAAATTTTTTTTTTATAAAGTTTGATCAAAGGTAATTGAGGTCGAGGAGTCCGAATCTGATGTCAGTTTTTTAAGATTTTTTTAACTACCAACTTTTTTAAACAAAGGACCACTTTTTTACAAAAAAACTTTTTTTTTAGGGTGTGGGTGTGGGTGAGGGTGTGGTTGTGGGTGTGGGTGTGGGTGTGGGTGTAGGTGTGGGTGTGAGTTTGAATACTTATTTCGTCTACTGCTTACACCGACACCCACACCCACATCCGATGTTGGTTTTTTGATAATGTATAATATTTAGTATGATTACTTTATAGAAATTCTAGTTAGAGTAATGGGAAGAAAAGTTATTAATTCAGTATCCGCTTTAATTAAAAAATTTTCCAATGTTGACTACCACACGTCATATCTTTCGGTAGAATTTTAGCAGAAATATGTAAATAAAAGCGAGGTATCTGATTGCGAGCCTGGTGTTGAATCTTCATCGACATCAAATATATAACTAACATTCAAAATATGTGAAAAACTGTGGTAGACGAATATGCTCTATTTGTAGCGATTTATAAAACAGGACTTCTTCGTTTCAGTCTCTTTTTAGGAATCGTATTACCAGAAGCATATCGCGTTTTGTAGTGACAATAAAAGAAACTTAGTTTATTCCCCTCATAAGTGAAAGATACAGTGAAGGTGTTCATAGAAACGGCTAGTCGTGAGTGGCCGACCGAAGGGAGGCCGACGAACGTCTAGACGTCAGTTTGAAAAGTCAATACAACGTATAGACTTGAAAACTCTCAAGTAGCTTGAACCGTTTTTCGTAGAAGCCTAACTGATATTCTTTCGAGAGCGAATTGGCCAGGTTATGATTTTCCTGAGAATAAAAGAGAGATTAAAATCTGTGCTGAAAGTCACACACTGTTATCTAAATTCTAGATGTCTTTGATTACGAATCTATGCAATATGAGCGACTTAGTTTTCATATGTATAAAAATGCTCATCTCAGTGATGAGAAAATAGAAAAATATATAATGTATGTCAACGGCTAGTCGTGAGTGGCCGACCAAAGGGAGGCCGACGAACGGCTAGACGTTAGTTTGAGAGCTCAAAATACGTAAAGGTAGTTACAGTGAAAGATGTCTTGAGAAGTGACCAAGTGATTGGATTAATGAACTAAAACAGATTTTTTATTTTATCATAAGTATGGTGATCGATCCGATCAAATCCTTTCAGTAGAGGGTCAGCGGCAATTGCGCCGCGTTACTTGTTTTAATTGGTGTTTACAGAAACAGAGTTGACCATAAGAAAAAACTATCAAGTAGCAGTGTTAATAATGATGATTCTAAAATTAGATTATTATAAGATAGTAAAATTGTCATCGATATTGATATCACTCATTATCTTCTGAATTAAATCCGAATTTTATTATCTCGAATAAATTTTAAAAAAAACCATCTAAAACTTAATAAACTAAACTATGCTTCACTCAGTTGTCATATTAAATATAACATTTATACATATCATACATATCTCTCTCATCTAACTGATCTATATCAATAAAAGTATCATATATATATGAAAAAAATAGGAAAAACAAATACCTTCGTTCGTCACATTTGATTGGCGATAAAAAGCTACGTGTTGCATTTCATTCATTTCATCTGGTAAGATAAGAGTAAGTTTGGCAATAGATGAAGCTACTAAGTCAGCCTGATTAACGTTCAAATTCATTGAAAAAAGTTGTTCAAAAAGATATTCAAATCTTTCTTTTATTTTTGTAACTGTTGTATCTTCAAATAGATCACGTGAACAAATAAAATCACATGACAATATGTCGTCACCCAAGATTGGATCGTAATAAAATGTCAACATAAAATCAAATTTAGCCAAACCCGGAAACTCTTTTAATGATATTGGCTGTAAAATAACATCATCGAACGTAAACTGATCGCTAACTGAAGATTCAGTCATGAAATCAAAAACTGTTTGAAGAAAAGGAGCAGTTGATTGATCTAGATGAAAATCACGAAGAATATGTTGAAGTGGATAATGAGAATGTTCAAGAATTGATAAACATTTTTCTCGTACATGTTTAGTAACTTCATCAAATGACCAACGAGGATCAAGTTGCATACAATATGGTAATATTGAAGTAAACATTCCTATCATAGTCTGTAATTCAGATCTGTATCGGTTAGCGTTAAGACATGAAATACATAAATCAGTTTGACTATATGTTAACTTGAATAAAAATGTATAGAATGTGGCCAATCCGAGTTGAAATAGTGTCAAATGATGTAAAGAAGCATAATTAAGAAATGATGAGGATATTTTTCTGTCGAAAGTGATTTGCATGGTAGAAGCGAAACCAGAGCGTCCATTATTAGATAAACAGTGCTGATCGATTGGTAATGACAATTGACGTTTCAAGTTACATCCTTCGAGTTGTAAACGCCAAAACTCACGTGACAACGTCATATCGATGAGACGTTCATGAACAGCATAATCAATATATTGTAATGATTTTTCATCATCTAAGTACGTCACGTGGCTATTGTAAGTATTCCATAGATCATTGAAAAAAATGGGGAAAGTTGAATGATCTATGGCAACATGATGAAAGCCGATAACGAGAACATCAGAGTTTTTAATAATTTCTTTATCATAATTTTCATTAGGTGCTATTTGTTGTCTGAGAATTTGACAATAAAAAACACGACCACTTGATAAATCGAACAGATTAGGATTAGCATTTATTTGTGAAATAATGCTATGAAGATCGGTTTCATTTTTGAATGTTTTATCGGCCGCTAATGTAAATGTCAGATGTTTATCAGTGATAGATTGTTTTAAAATACTGTCATCATCTTTGAAAAATAGAGAAGTTCGTAATATCTTATGTCTACTCAGGACATAGCGAAGAGCTTGCAATAAACGATTCACTGACAAGAAGCCTTTCTTCACTCTTTGAATTAGCAGCTCATTGTAAATGGCAATTTGATCATAGAAACGAACTTGTACATCAAGAAATATGCGTTCTTGAGCATACGATGTGACGCCTAAAAATTTGTGAAATAATATTTTTAGCTATTAAAAAAGTAAATTAAAACTATCTTACCTTCGTTAATATGTAGCGTATGCCATTGTTTTAGTTGTGTACCATCGATGATGATTTTCTCAAGTAGTTTTGCGTGTTCTACTATGGTGTTATAGTCAAAGAATGGTCGAATACTCAATGCTTCTCTTTCAAAATTAAATTTTGATTGATAATGTTGATAGATCTCAACAAGTAAAAGAGAATTGCCGCCAACACTAAAGAAATTAGTTGTAGTAGATATAAGAAAAGATGTTTGTCTGTCTATATCGGAGACGTTTGCAATGGACGGCAGTTTATTAGATTCCAGTTCACCATGTTGTATAATAAGTCGATCTGTGTATAATATTTCTTGCCAAATATTCGCAATTGTCTTTTCTAGTTCAGTATTTGGTGCATTATAGGTATCTTCTTGTTGAAGCACTGATAGTGATATTTCTGGTAACGCTTTTCGATCAATTTTGCCATTTGGACTTAACGGAAATGATGAAACACTCATAAAATGTGATGGTACCATATACATTGGAAGCTTTTTCTTTAGATATATTCGTAACGTTTCGCTCCAGTTCGGCATTGATTTTACTTTTGAAATAGTGTGTTCACTTTTTTGTTTATTAGTAATTTTTCCAATAAGTAATGTATGTAATATGTTACTTCCATTTAGTTTCTCACGAATAAGAATAGTGTCTAATACATCATTGATTTGTTTTGGAAAACTCATACGAGTACCAATTGGACACATACCAATATTTATTTCTAAACCATGGCCCATTAATAAATGTGACATCTTTCCTATATTCAATGTGTGTTCTGATCGTCCGATGAAGAAGATTGCACATTGGCAATCATGGAATATAATCTTTGTATCATCGTCATCATCAAAGAACAGTGGTATTTCCTCTTGTGTAGTTGCAGTTTCGACATCAAAAGGTGTAATAGTATCATCTTCGTTGTTATAAATAAACCATTGGTCTTTGTTATTATTGACCGATTTTAGATAAATAATACATTGATAACTGTCATTTTGTACATTAGTAGATATATGTTGCTCAGATGATGAAATTTTGAAACAACAATGAGTGTCATTCTCATCTATATTCAAAATATCACGAGTTATAGATTCATTATGAATATTTGTTGAAAATGTCAATCCCAATCGTGACCCTTCTTTTTCCAATAATCCCATAATATATCCTGTTTCTAGCATACAAAATTGAGAACCCAATTTTTTACCATATCGCGGTGCAATTACTGATGATCGCCCAACAAGATGTAATCTTATATTCATCATATCATTATTAATGTGAGTACTAATCAACTCTAGAGTATGTTCATCTGGATTATGATAATAAACACTAGGCAAAATATTATCCGTAGATGTTGGTAATTCAACATATACTTGTACTGGATAAAGATCATCAATTGATGCATAACGATATTTTGGTAAATCTTTATCAGAAATACTGATCGGTGTTAATACTGCTAATAATTGACTAAGAATATCAGAATCGAGATGAGATAAAGATATTTTCTCATGATTACTGCTATTGTGGCAGTTTTTTAACAATTTTTCTATAGTAGATCTTTCAATAGTTTCATTTATAAATTGTCGATAGCTTTTTCTCATATAATATGTATTGATTAATGTTTCTGTAAGCTTTGGTTTTATTAGAGCAAAGCTCTTTTCTATTTTCTTTTGATGTCTTATACTATGTCTTGCAAGCTTGAGATTGATACGTTCAATAGGATCAGTGATCAACATTTCTGTTGAATCATTTTCTTCACTATCGATAGAATATTTTTTTGGTATAATATATCCAATTAAGTGTTGGGATTTGTCATCAATATTAACAATAGCTTGTTGAATATCTGGATGTTGTTGTAAATGATGTTCAATTTCACCAAGTTCAATACGATGACCATGTACTTTTACTTGAAAATCTTTTCGTCCCGTAAATTCAATATATCCATTTGGTACAAATCGACCATAGTCACCTGTTCGATAGAGACGTTCGTTAGTTAATGGATGAATAATAAAACTTGATTGTGTTTTTTCTTGATCATTCCAATAACCATTAGCTAAACCTTCACCACCAATATATAATTCACCAATGACCCATTCAGGACAATCATCAAGATGTATATCATAAACATAATATTGTTGATTTCTTAATGGTATTCCATAAGGAATTGATTTCCATTCTTGTGGTATTTCTTTTGGCAAAGTAAAAGCAATCGACCAAATGGATGCTTCTGTTGCACCACCCAAACTAGTTATTGTTACTTGTTCACCAAATGTTGTTTTAATCGATTCGGGTAAAGATACTGGTATCCAATCACCACTTAGTAAGATATGTCGTAATTGGTTATTATGATTATTCGTATGTTTGAGATGTTCAACAAACATTTGCATTAACATTGGAACACTATTCCAAATAGTGACATGATGTTTAATTATCATATCATACCAGTGTTGAGGATTTTTATAATCTTCATGATTTGGAATTACTATAGTTCCGCCAGCAATTAACATGCCAAATATATCATAAACTGATAAATCAAAATTGAGATGTGATAATGCAAATATTCTATCATTAGTTGAGATTTCTAATCTTGAATTCATATCAAGAATAGTATTTAGAACAGCTTGATGACTAACCATAACACCTTTTGGTTTTCCAGTTGAACCAGATGTATAAATAACATAAGCTAAATCAGTTGATAATTGATGTTTAATAGGAAATGGTGTTGGATAATTATCATCAGTTGTGAATGTATCGACTGGAATAGTTGTGAGATGTGGAAATCTATGTTGGCAATGAGATTGTGTTAGAATAATATGAATATTAGTTTCTTCGACTAATGAACAAAGACGATCGTAGGGTGAATCAACATCCAAAGGTAAATAAGCACCACCTGACACTAAAACAGCTAAGCAAGCAACAATCTGTTCCCATCCTTTTGTCATGAGAATAGCAATGAGTTGATTGGAGTTTATTTCATGTTGTTGTTGTAGATGATATGCTAATGAATAAACACGATTCATTAATTGTTCGTACGTTAGATTTTCTTGCGATGATATAATCGCCCAAGCATTAGGCGTTTGTTGTGCTTGATCAATAACTAAAGTGTGAATTAGTTGTGCTTCTATGTCAGACTTCCATTTGGTTTCGACAAAGATGAATCGTCTTTGTAGTTGTTCAACTGGTAGTAATACAGAAACTGATTCTTGCCACATTTCACTTGATGTTGCTAGTCTTGTAAGAAGATCAATGAACACACTTTGCATATCATCGATCATCGATATTGGAAATAAACTTTCTACATGATCCCAACGGATGACTAGCTGTCCATCTTCTTCATAAATTTGGTTATCCAAGTAAACCTGAGGAGTTTGTGAAATACCATACACCGATGTTTTTTCAAAAAGATCTCGAAGTTTGTTTGTATTTTGTTTGGAATCCGAGTGAAATAATCCACACATAAACACGATAGGCAAAACAATTTCTCTGGTCTTGTTAATATGCATCAAGTCGCGAATAAACGATACACCATCGTAAGACATATGTGCAAGATCATTCCATAATTGTTTCTGAATCGTGTGGAAAAATTGACGAAAAGTTTGTTTTTCCTGTAAGTTGACTTCTAGTGGAATGACTGATGTGAAGTCACCTGCTATATGATTGACTTGTGGATGTATCGGTAGACGATTGAAGATTGGTAGATTGATTGAGAAGTGTCGATTACCATTCCATTTAGCCAACACAATTGCATAGATAGATGTAAGAAACCCAGCAGGTGACAGTTGAGTACTGCTGATTCGCTCTTTCAGCTGACTCCATACTGATTGATCTAATGTACGTTGCAAGCGCACAAACTTTTGTATCTTTAGTTCTGTTGGTAAACAGCGTAGTGGTAAACTAGGACCCAATGGAAATGAATGTAATCGATCGATCCAGTATTTTTTGTCGACTTGATAGACAGATGTGGTTTTGATTTGATTTTGTGCTAATATGTAGTCTCTGAAAGAATAATCAATCGTTGGTAAAATAACATGTGGACAGCAATAGAGTTGATATAGTTCGGAAAAAATGATGTTCGCACTCCAAAGATCCATTATGAGAAGATCGAAACCGATATGGATGCGTAAGTGACGTGTGCTGTCGTTAATAAAACAAGTTACTTGAATGTCAAATAATGGCCATTGATTAGCAGGACGAATTTGATGTGATAGTTGCTTACGTCTTTTAATGAGTTCGTCTTTTATTAATTTAGTATTAGACAAATCAACTATGGGTATCGTATAGTAAGGAGTTATTTTAAGAAGCTGCTGTTCTGTGTCAGATATAAAAATGGTCCGTAATGCTTCATGACGATGAATCAGATGGTTCCATGCTTGCTCAAGTCGTTCAATATCGAACTGCGATAGTAAATCAAATTCTTCATATGAATAGCAAGAAACTTGACCAAGTTCGACATAGCCACTTCGTCCAAATAAATAAGCTTGCTGAATCTCAGTAGTCGGAAAAGATTGGTAACTTGCTGTTTCATCCGTTTTAGATGTGAAATTATGTTGCGACGTGGCAAGATTGTTGTCGATCAGAATGACATCTAGAGTAGAAGACATTTGGACTAAAGCAAAAAACTCGAACTTGTTATGTTGTAACCTATCACAACTATCTTTTGAAGCCATCAGTATAATGTGCCATAAGATAAATCACACTATAGATATTATCTATGTGCGTATTCTATAAACATAGACATGTTATTTCTGTTCACTACACCTTTTCTTTTTCTCTGTTAAGCATTCACCTGAGCGTGTTCTATTGCTTTCATGCTATAAGTCATGTGATTTCCCAAGTATTCTATTTTTTTCTAAGTATAGTATATAAAAGTCTCCACTGTTTTATGTACGAAATGAGTGTTGGTATGTGATTTAAGTTCTCGAATTTACACCTCTGCACATCAATCTATATCAGATTTAACATACCTTCCATAGCGCCTGACGGTAATAAATATTGGTCAGATATATGTTTCGTATTTTTTGATTGGTTAATCAGACGAGCATGATTAGCAATTGTTGGATGTTGAAAGAGTTCACCAATGTCCAGCATGCTTATATCGACATCAAACGTTGTTTTATAACCTTGGTAAAGTTGTATAAATAGAAGAGAATGACCACCAATGCTAAAAAAGTTTGCACTTGTCGAAATTCGGCTATGATCCAGTATTTTACACCACAATGAATGCACAAGTATTTCGACTTTCTCCATTGGTTCTATATATCTGTGATCATTAGCAATCGTTGCGAGACTCGAAAAGTCTGGCATGGGAAGGTTCTTGCGATCGATTTTTCCATTGACATTCAATGGTAATTGTTCCAAGAAAACGAAGAAAGATGGTACCATGTATTGATACAAATGTTTATTGCAATAATTTCGAATTTGTTCAGTATCGAGCTCGGAATCTTTTGAGACCACATATGCAACAAGTAGATCATCATTTTGTGCCAGTTTAGTAACAACACAGTCAGAAATTTTGCTAGGATATGAATTCGTAATTGTATTTTCAATTTCACTAGTTTCGACTCGTTGGCCACGTATTTTTATTTGAAAATCAGTTCGTCCAGCATAAACAAGTTCTTCTCGTGTATTATATCGAGCCAAGTCGCCTGTTTTTATATAAACTTGATTATTTATGGTTGTAAACTTGCTAGCAGTCTTTTCGGGATCATTTAAATAGGAGTTAAATAAAGTTGGTCCTTGTAAATAATACATAATACAAAAAAAAATGATCAGAATGCACGCTACTTACCACCTATATGAATTTGACCAATGTTATTTGAATTGTCTGTACTTGTAATAATCTTGCCATCATCATCTACTATCAAGCATTGAATAGCTGGCATAGGATAGCCAACAGGAATCTCTGTATCTTTGATATTTATCAATTGACATCCAAGAGCTCCATTACTTTCAGATGTACCATAATGAACATAAAGTTCAACATGGAAAGAACTTAATAAATTAACAAATCGAGTCCATTGTTGTGGCTTCATTGCTTCGCCTAAATTATGCACGATGAGCGAAAAATAAGCTGTCAAAAATAAATCAAAAGTTTATCATTACCTGTCATACACAAATGACGCACAGTATCGAATGTTCTCATTTGCTGGTTATCTTCAATATAATGAGTAAGAGCTCGAATCATTGCAGGACCTATCATTAATGTCGTTATTTGTTGATATATTAAAGTTTGAGAAAAATATGCCACATCCAAGTGACTACCTTGTCGCAGGAGCACTAGAGTACCACCGACGACTAATGGTACTGAGATTTCCGTAATATGTATAGCCCATGAACATGCAGCAACTTGAAGAACATGCTCTCGAGCTGTGTACATACGGGCACCCCATTGAATATAATTGGTGATACTAGCCGAAAAACCTCTATGTGTATGAACAACTGCTTTTGGCGGTCCAGTAGTACCGGATGTAAAAATGATAAATGCAGCATCATACTCCATAGAAACTGAAAGGCTATTGATATCTTCAATATCTAATAATGGAAGAAGAATATTATCCAATACAATAACATGCTGAACGGCTGCTATTGGAAATTGATTACGAGTTTTCTCATGTACTAAAACGCATTGCCCTTGCATTTTTTCGAGAAGTATTTTGAGACGATCAGACGGCACTGTTGGATTTATTGGGCAATATACTCCACCTATAAACATGATAGCCAAAAAGCCACATATCATCTCAAAACTTCGTTCAACGAATTGAAAAAGTATTTGACCTTGAACTATGTCTAAGCGCTGCAATTGACGTACAACACGTTCTACTTGCATAATCAACTCGCTATAAGTCCATACTTGATCGTCAAGCATGATTGCCACCTTCTGAGGATATAATCGAGCAATATTAAATAAATTGCAGATCGTGTAGCATGATGTTGTCATATTTTAATTAATATGTTAAAAATTAAAATTGGAAGCTTAATCTAAAAATAGTCGATAAAAAGATTCATAGAAACAGTCTCATTTTATAAAAGGGATCTTGAACGTCTAAGAGACTGTCGTTGTTGGCATAGATACTGCATTTACCTAGCACCCGCACCAACATCTCCACCCACCCGTTTTTTACTAGAAAAAGAGATTTAAACTACATCAGTAACGTTATCTTGAAACTTCATGTAACCCTGATTGTCAAGAAGTTCACGCAATACACGCACAGTTTCATCTAATTCTAATTTAGTGTTATAGAACGCTACTGGAGCCATTCGCAAAATATCTGGAGATCGATAATCGGGAACAATATTTCTTGCGCGTAAAGCCAAACTCAGCAGATGTGCATGTGCATGCCGAACGCTGACATGACCACCTCTACGTTCCTCATTCCTAGGCGTGACAATTTCGAGTTCAGGCAGGTGTTGATCGATCAGTTCCATAAGATATGTCGTAAGTTCCAATGATCGTTTTCGAATATCCAGAATATTCACTTTCTTGAACTCTTTTAAAGATCCTTCGAGACCAGCAAGAGCAAGTATACTTGGAGTACTGATTTGATAGGCAGCTGCTCCAGGTTCATGTGTAAAATAAGGACGCATTTCAAAGACTGTGTGCTTTTGATGTCCCCACCACCCTTTTAAAGCAGGAATTCGATGAAAATGTTTTTCATGCACAAAAATGCCACCACAAGCACCAGGTCCAGCATTTAGATACTTATAACTGCACCATACAGCAAAATCCGCATTCCAGTCATGGAAGTCATGCGGTAGTGCACCTATAGAATGTGCTGCATCTACTCCAAGTATTATGTTTTTTTCCTGAGCGCGTTTGGCGTACCGTTTAATATCAAGAAGCTGACCACTTCCATAGAGCACAGTAGGAAGTAGTATAAGAGCTACATCGTCTTGAAAAGCTTCCTCAATATCTTCATCAGTTAACGTATATTTATCTCGTGATGAAATCAAACGCAGTTCTGTACCATAATGTTGTGTCCAGGATTGTAATGCATATAAGTCACTTGGAAAATCCAAAGTGGTTGCAACAATATATTTTTTAGTATCAGTAGGTTTATAGAAGGTAGCAAGTAGAGCATGTAAATTCGTCGTAATACTGCCTGTAGTAATGACTTCTTCAGGCATAGCCCCCACCAGCTGTGCCAAATCTGTACTTAAGCTTTCTGATAGCCCAAACCAGGACGCCCAACCATTTACAGCTAAAGTCTGCCATTCTTTCAAACGATTTTCAATCGTCTTTATACTCGATCGACTAGCGAGTCCTAAAGAATTTCCATCCAAGTAGATTCCTTCAGGATAAATGAAATCTTCCCTAAGCATTTTATGATATACCAAAGAAATTTACTATTGTAATTCGATTATTGCTTATGATTTCTTCAGAAGAGACTAATTGATTTCAACAAATTTTCTAAAATAACAATCAAGAAGTAAACCCACATTGTGAATTAGTCCAATAAATTCAGACGGATTTTAACTGATTCCCATGAAATATACTCGTTGATAATCAGAGAAATCTTGTCTTCCTATACCAGTAATTTTTTGCTTCAAGAAAGCAGTAAAGTTTATGTAACCACTATAAAAAACGAAATGTGTAATAAACTAGTCTCAGTCGGAACAGATAGAGCAAATCTTAAGAGAGTGGGGGAAGAGAAGCGGGTCTTTTTGGATACCAGAGGATCTAAGATAATCCATCGAAATGTACAGCGATTCGTTAGTATAGAGTTCGAAGGTGAATTATTCCTTCATATAAAATCGTAGGTCTATGATAATCTGATTAGTTAACCGTGATTTATAGTCATTCGTGTTAGAAATTCAAAGATATTGTTAATATGTTTCATTTAAGTATAATAGTTAACGACATAAAAACATGAAAACTAAACCTGTCGATCCTTCCGGACGGGATAGTCGTAACGAAAAAACTAAAATGAATTTCTTTGTATTTAATGAGTCAAAAATAAAAAAACACCTCCCGCCATAAATTCAAGATGCACCTTTCATCAAAAATTTTCGAGACAGAAGAACCCGAATCGATGAATAGTATTTTGATATACTGAGACTGAGATTAAGTTAATACTGATCCAAAAATAGGATACCCATTGAATATAAATGATGTTTCATAAGTAACGATCTCTTTTCTGTGGAGCTTTGCTTAATACGAGGGTGGTCGTTACTCGCAAAACACGTCGTATAAGATAATTGATACTTATTATTGTAGTACGAATGTTTTCTATTTTATAATAGTTTCAAATAACCAACGCTTTTCAACACAACGGTCTATAATCAGCTACGGAATAAGATGTAAGAACTAAATTTATATATACTAATTCTTGACTCCATAAACGAAATCACCTTTTTTT